TTTCCTCAATATGACCCCATTTCTTCAGCATGGCCCCTCACTCCCAACCCACAGCCCCGCATCCCTGCAACCCCATCTGCTGATGTTGTGACCCCATTTGGGGTCACGACCCACAGTTCAGGATCCACTGCCTTAGAGATTATAGACAGGCACAATTGTATTGATTTATAACAGTCAATAACTGGTGAAACCATCTAAGGGGCATGACAGGTTTCCAAGGATCAGTAAGATTCATTCTTTCATACTTCATGTCAGCAGTTGTGTTCCTTTACTGATTCACATCTAGTTGCTGTTATTTGTCAACAGCTTTTTCAAATTAAGGCTTTTAAGTTCTTGAGTAAATTATTTATAAAAAATGGATTAAAAAGGGGTCCAGAGGTTTATAATTTTTCAAACTCTTCTGTCTGAGCAGAAGTAGAAGTTTTTCAATTTCTTATCATCTCCCTAGGCCTATTGATTGCTCTGCTCCCTGTAATTTGCATGAAGATTTTGCATTCACCTTTGCCTCAAACTGGCAGAAACTCTTCATACTGTATTTTTGCATCTAATACACACTGCAGTTTCCAGCGGTTGTCTTTGTGACAAGGTGCATGTTGTATGTGGGCAAATAAAGTATTTAGAACTTTAAGTAGTCCCATCTGTTCCTTTCATGCATTTCTAAAGCAAGCTTGCTGTTTAGGAATAACAGGCAGGAAGTACAGGAAATTGCTTCTTACTCTGTATCAGGTGAGTTGGAGGATGATGCGAGTTCAACTTGAAATGTCTCTGAGATCAGGAAAGAATATTTCTGTGTGAAGCATTTGACAGTTGCATCATCTTGTTTTTTGCAGGTATCTGCTGTCTCTCCCAATCCATCTTTTACATCTTTGCTAACAGGAGAGTTTGCCTTCCCTTATTTTTGTTATTGCTTGAGTCATATGTTTCATACACTGCAATTGGTTTCTAAGTCTAAAAATGTAGAAAGTTTTCTTGTAACTAAAAAGAAAAATAACTAGTGTGTGTGTGTGTGTGTGTATATAGTTAATGTTTGGGGAAAAAATATTTTAACTTTTAAATTTTATTTTTGATTAAGCAGTTGTGTGACCTTTTAATGTTTTTAAATTTATTTTTTATAGAACTGCTTCCCAAGTTTGTTTAATGAAATTTTCACCAGATGGAGAATTCTTTGCTACTGCAGGAAAGGTAACAAGCTTGATACGTGCGTGTGTGTGTGTGTGTGTGTGTGTGTGTGTGTGTGTGTGTGTGTTGAGAGAGTTTCTAGAGCTTGGCTTAAAAAAAATGTCTGCCTTTTCATAATGCAAAATGTCAAAAACCTCCTATCTTCTAATCCTGTTAAGTGACTGTTTTGAGGACTTGGAAAGATTTTTCAGCAGAGCACTAACCTAAAATATCCATTACCAACAAATTATGATTGAGCACCAAAAATAGTGCATTATGAAGTGAAGAGTTTGTACCACAGCAGTAGACCCGTATGAGTGCTTTCTTATTACGAAAATGAAAGAATTTTAATGCTATGAAGTGCTAGATCTAAAGAAAACCACCTTATCTTTGAAGAGAAACTACGATCTGTCAGGGTAACAACAGAATCACATTTTAGGCAATTAATTTTCTCTTCATTTCAGTGTGAGCAAGATATTTAAATTCAGATTTGCTAAAACTTTGTAGGAGGGTGCTAAGCAGGTATCCACTATTCAGTCTTACTTTAAACTAACATGAAAGCTTGCCTAGATTGTCAGTCCCTTTGGGTAGATGCTTAAGTAGTTGTGTGTGGCAGCTTAGATCAGTTCTTTTGTAGCTGAGCCATTTTTGTTATTGAGTTTGCAGAACTGATTTGTACATGAAGCATTTTTGGAGTATGACATAAGGTGGTTGTAGCCTGTCCTTCCTATTTCCACCTGTGCTAGCCACAACACTTCTTCCTGCTAAACCTTCTCACTAAGGTCTTACAAGAGATTATAAGCTTCAGAAGCAGGGGAAGGATGATCTGGTGGAGAGAGTGAAGAATCAGGGGAAGGAACTCAAGGTGATGTGGTAGGAGTCGAGAACAGTCTCAGCCTACAGAACTTACAGCCATTTAGCAAGGAATTCATTCGGGTGACTAGCACTATTTTTGTTTAAAGAGAGATTTAAAATCTGACAATCTTCTGGTAAATCTGTAGCTAACTTGAAAGCAGATTTTTTTTATAGTTGCATGATGACTGTAAGAGATGAGTGTACAATGAGCTATCATAGAATCAGTGAGTCGGAAGGGACCTAGACGGATCATCTAGTCCGACCCGCTGCCATGGGCAGGAAGGAGCACTGGGGGTGGCAGGGGTCATAAGACCCCCAGCCAGGTGCCTATCCAGTCTCCTCTTGAAGATCTCCAGGGAAGGTGAGAGCACCACCTCTCTGGGAAGCCTATTCCAGGCTCTGGCCACCCTTACAGTGAAGTAGTTCTTCCTAATATCTAACCTAAACCTATCCTCCCTCAGCTTGTGGCCATTGTTCCTGGTGACTCCAAGGGGGGCCCTGGTGAACAGACTTTCCCCGAGTCCCTGCTGCTGGCCCCTGATAAGGTTGTAGGCAGCCACAAGATCCCCCCTCAGTCTCCTCTTGCGGAGACTGAAGAGATTCAGGTCCCTCAGCCTCTCCTCATAGGGCTGGCCACGGAGGCCCTCAACCATACGAGTGGCCCCCCTCTGGACCCTCTCCAGGTTCTCCACATCCTTCTTGAAGTGCGGCGCCCAGAACTGGACACAGTACTCCAGCTGCGGCCTGACCAGCACCACATAGAGGGGGAGCAAGACCTCTCTGGACCTGTTAGTGATGCCCCTGTTGATGCATGACAGGGTGCGGTTGGCTCTGCCTATTGCTTCGTCACTCATATTCATCCTGGAGTCAATCATGACTCCAAGATCCCTCTCTATTCAAGGAACGAAGAGGAAGAATTGCAATTAAAGCAACATGAACAGTTTAAATATGGGGGATTTGGCCATATGTTACTAGGTCAGTTAGGCAAACAATTTTTTATTTTTTTTCCCATGATCTCTGGTTAAGGTGCCAGACTAAATGATAAAGCAGCAAAGAATGTGCTAGTCAACAAAAATGTTGTATAATACTAGACATGCCCGATGTTGTACAATACTAGACATAATGTACATGTTTCAGTGGCATTTAAATCAATCCATAATGTGGGTGTTTCAACACGCTGCTGAACAGTCTATTTTGGGCTTGCTTCTGAGAAACTTTTTATTCATTGCCTTTTGTTTTGTATTCCTGGCATTCAAAATTATTGTCCTTTCAGGTTTTTTGTTTTTTTTTTTGTGAGGTAGGCTGATACATTTCAGTGTATGAATGGAGGCATTCTTGGCTCTAAGATTTCTAATAGTTCTTCAGGACTGATCATTATGGCAGGGAAGAATTTTTTCTTTTATTGGTCATAACATAGTCTTTGAGTTTTTGTTTTTTATATGAATATATCCTGTCTTTTGTGTCAGCACATCCTAAATTACTTTGAAAACTGGTAATCCTGTAGGGAGAAGTAATGGCATGTTGGTACCAATGTTTCGATATGGTCATAATGAAATCACCTGTTTCTGTTTGAGCAGGTTTATCCTTTGGGATGTTCCCATGATGAATATATCCAGTAAGATGGCCATGTACAGGTGGGGAGAGGGTTGTCTGACTAAGCTGTGATATAACTCTTGAGACAGGCCTGCAACTAGGCTAATGTGTATTGCCCTGTCCTATGAACGTCTTTGGAAACAGTCTGGGATAATGGAACAGATATTGCTGATACCTCTGTTCATCTTAATATCCATAAACGTTCCTCACAGTCATCTGCCTTATGATCCTTCTATTTACAAAGCAGGATTGAGTTTATGAATCTTAGCAGAATTAACCATAAACCCAGTTTTCTTCAAATGTGGGTCTCTAGCACCTTTTCTAGGAAATCCCATGTTTTTAGGCTGTTCACAGAGAATCGGAATGAGATGGGAATGTGGGAAAAGCAAAACTCATTAACAAGAAATCTTTAACCATTTTAGAAAAAAGTATAATCTAGGAAAACTTGAAGCTTTTTCAAGAGAGTTGAATTCACTTGCACCAGGAAAATAATGTTTTATATAAGCCCTCTGCTAGAACTGTGTCCTGTGTTAGGAGGCTTTCAAATGCATCAGTTCTGTCAGCTAGATCCTATGGGAAATAGTTTAAGATTTTTAAATTGGAACTTCCATTTGTGGAAAATTGAACAAGTATTAATAAGTTTGTGTTTTCTTTTTCCATTAGAATGATTGTCTTGTGAAAGTGTGGTATAATACAGAGAGTTGGCGATCAGCAGTAACACCTCCAGGTGCTACTCCAGAAAAACAAGCATCAGAAATTGATTTTTCATTTGTTTATTTGTCCCATCCTCGATCTGTAAATGGATTTTCATGGCGGAAGACAAGCAAGTACATGCCACGGTCAGTAAATTGACTCCTGATACCTGTAAATTGTTGAAAATGGAGTGAAAATTTGTAAAACTTTGCAAGGTTTGCACTGTTTTTACCTAAAAAAAAAAATGGCATTCCCAAGTCTTCTGTGAAGACGTTGGTCTAAATTTACTTTAATTCCCTTCCAAATTCAGCAGTACTAAATTGTGGCTATTCTTTCTACCTGAATTTACCCTGAACTGTCCTTCATGCTTCACATTTACCTTCTGTCTGTGTTCTTATATGGCACTGCCAGTGTCATAATCATGCACATTCCATGATTAAAAAGAGTAACATTTTTATTTCCCTGCTGGGAGAAGGCTGGCTTGTGATTTTTAAGATGCAAATATAAATGCAAGAGAGGAAATGTGCTGGGGGGAGGGGCAAAATTAATGTATTCAGTTATTATCTTTGAACATGAAACCCATCTTTTTAGCCTGGTTCTAGGAAGAAATTATCCCTACATACGTTGTAACAGAGACCTGCAAAATGTTATCATTTCTGCAGTATCATTAGCATAACCCTGTATCATGTTCACCATCCATACATTTGTTTACAGCACTTCTTCCTTTGATAGTCTTCCAGAATCTGATTGAATCAAAACTCCACTTTGTGCATGCCCTCTTGCTTAAATATGCAAACGCTCTTGTATAACTCTCATGTGAAAGATCTACTGATTATCCATCCACTTTTTTTTTCCTGGAAACTGAATTTTGTTTTTAAAGGCTGAATATATCAGGATGACTGAAATTATATCATGGCCTAAATAAAATAATCATTCATGATTAATGTGTTTTTTTCCTCTATCCTTGTCTACTACTTGGACTCCTCTGAATCCTTTCTGCCTCAGTAAGTTCTCAGCAGTGCAACTTAAGCAGTTTTACTCGTTTTGCCCTTCTCTGTCGTCTTTACTTGGGTTATGTACAGATGTTCGGTTTTTACGGGGAGAATCACTCTTCTTCTAGTAGAAACCAGAAGTGGACAGACATTTAGCCTTTTTTTATCCTGGAGAAAAAACGGCTGCTTTGGGAGAAAAATAACCCTGAGATGAGTAGGGTTAAGTCACTCCCATGAGAGTTTATCCCAAGAGACACTGAATGCTTTCTCCTGGCTTAACTCTTGGGGACCAGGAGAGAAGCTAGGGAAAAGGCTTCTGTGGCTTCTTGGTATCACTCTGGTTTTAAGAAGTCTGGTGATGGGGGCTGGGGAAGAGCTATTCCCACCCCCCACCACCACCCCTTTACTGTAGACCAAAAGGAAGGGAGGAGTAATGCTAGCTGCTTCCCCCTGCTTCTCACCATGGAGTTCCCAGCATGAGATGTTTTGCTGCACTCTTGTGACAAGGTTCTTGGTGGAGAAGCAAGTGGAGTTTCCTGCTCTGCTCAGTTCCTTCGTTTGGTTCCCAGTGCCCATGGAGTGGTGCCATCCCCTTTGGCTTTCATTTGCTCTACTCTGCTGTTCAGCTAAGCAGCAGGAGGGTGGAGGGGGAAGGGGAAACCAGGTGGGGGGAACTGGCTGGGGAAAACCCCCCAAGCCTAGCTTCTGGCTGCACTGGCTTTAAGTCACCGCATGGGGGAGGCAAGGGGAAGCCATCTGGTGAGGACCTGGGGTCAGAGAGGCTGTCGCTGGTGGTGCAGGGCAGAGCCCTCACTTGCTTACCACACCAGAATCCCAGAGGTGTACGTGGAGTGGGTGGGGTGGGTTTTCCCCACTGCTCAATCTGCTTGGGTCCCTGTACTTGGCGCAGGGTGTAGAGGAAGCAGTGCTGTGATGGGGAGCAGAGCAGAGAAGCAGCTACTCCAGGCAGGGCGACTTCGCTCCTCTCTCCTAGACTGGTCTGAAAGGGAAAGGGAGAGACGAGGCCCCCAGCCCCTTCCCCAAACCAGGGAAGTGGGTGGCTTGAGAGAGGAGATAGCAGGGCTGTGGCTTGCTGCTTCCTTCCCCTCCCAGACCAGTCTGGGAGTGGAGAGGAGAAGAGCAGCTATTGCTGCTCCTTGCTTCTTCCCCAAGCCAGGGAAGTGCTTGGCTTGGGGCTTTGCCCCAGTGCTCCCTCCACTCTGTTCCTGGAGACCAGGAGTGCAGTGGAGGAGGCTGTTACCCCAACACAGTTCCCTAGAGTCTGGACTGGGGTAGGTGTGAAGAGTCTCTGCTTGCTGCTCTACTTCCTCTGCTGACCAGGAGGAATGCAGCAGGCACTGCTCTGCTTGCCTTCCCCAGACCAGGATCCACCCCAGTTTTGGGAAGACGGGGAAAACGGGAAAGGGAACAACTGCAGACTGATCATGTGTGCTGCTCCCTCTCCTAGAAGGATTTCTACCAAGGGAAATTTCTGAGCAATTTTCTCCAACAGAAATGAATATCTGTACACAGCTTGAGTTACTATGATGTCAAGTACTTCTTTCTGTTAAAGCTACTAAAGCCTACTTGAATTCCATATTCTGTAAACAATGATAAGTGTGTTCAGGCCCTGGCTTGCAAGCTGCATGCAGTGCCTGGAAGTCTTTTAACACCAAATTGAGTTGGGATGTTTGTGCAGATCATTGAGTTGGGGTATACACTTCTTGAATGTTTCGTGGTGCTTAACTGTGTCAAGATCTTGATTTCTAGCTAGAAGGGTTAAGTGTGGCCATCTCTGATGCATAGAATGCCCTATTTAAAGCCACTACTCATTGTCCTCAAATTCAGTTAGAACTGCTTTGTACCGTGATGCTTTTATTAATTTGTTGTCTATTAATGATAACAATGGGTGGTAGTCAGTGGCATTTTGATTTTGCTATATATAACTAACACACACACACACACACACACA